ACTTGCAGAAGCATTCTCTAAAATTTGAAAAGTGCAAACATGCACAAATATGCTGTTCATTCTGCTATGAGTAAAAATGTCAGCAATTCCAATATATATGCTCCTTCCAGGTTTTAAAAAAACCCTGATTCTAAAAAATGCCATAAGTTAAAATGAACATGTTAAAGTCTTACAGTAAGTGGTGTTACTCAGTGTTCATCTGGGGGAAAGTATAACCACAATTCAACAATTTTGAGGTACAAATTAGGACAGACCTGCTAATGCATCAGGATATTCCTGTTTTGAGAATGTATTTGTATAGCTGTATTTGTACAGCATATGAATACAGATCTCAAAACATTCTTTTCGGGCACAGTTGTAGGCCCAAGTAGCTAATTGAACACTAATTCTTAAAAAGACACCTCCCCCCCCCAAATAATAGTAAAAAAAATCCATTGTCTGTTTTTCTATTATCCGCCATCTAAGCAAAGCAACCCTCACACACCAACAAAACAAGGAGATGCTTTTTCTGTAAGACAGGATAGCAAGCCCTGCAAAACGTAAAAGGCACTACATTATACATCCTGACCTGCACAGGAATCATGACATTGTCTCATATACAAGCTAGGGAAGATGTACTATAGGTAGACACCATTATTAGAGTAGCTATTTGTGATTTATTGAAAAGGCTGAAGTAGTATTCAAAGGAATTTATCACAGTTCTATCCTAGAAGTGATACAAGAAATGACTGTTCCAGGTCAGACCAAAAAACCAACTGCTTCAATACACTGTCTCTCACAGTGGCCGAAAGGGACAGTACAGAAACTGGGAAAATGTCAATGATATTTGCCAGCATAGCCCCAGTTACCACAGCCCCCAGTCTGATCTAGTGACTATTAATCTGCAATGGATTTTTCTTTGAATTACTTGTCTAATCACTTTCTGAATCCCTCCACAACGAATTAGGAAAAACTAGTCAATATTTCTGATGTCTTAAACCAGTATACAAATCAGGTAACTGATTTCAGCAATTATTGCAGTGGTGCAATTGACAATAACGGTATTTCAGATTGATGTTGTCAATGGTTTTTTTGTTTTGTTTTTTTGAGAATTGAACAATTATTCTTATCTCCTGCGTGCATGAATATTGAATGAGTACGAGGTTTCTACAGATATCAATGAAAAATATGTTCTAGAACTACTTTCAGAAGGGCTGGAGAGAGGCTTTATGTTTCATACAGAATCATCGAAGTCAGAAGGACATTCTCCAGGGATGGGCTGAATATCCTGGGTTTAGTTCCTGCTCCAGGGACATTTACAAATTTGTATCAAAATGCAGAAAACAGAACTATGAGCAGGGAACAGAACCAAAGAAATGTAACCAAATATTTTTTCTTTGCAAAATATCATTAGAACATTATTAGGTGTGATATTTTTACACTTAAAACATCTGTAATAGTATTTTCACTAAAGTACAGTGAAATACTTCTGAAATCAGAAAATTTGTTATCTTTTTTAGTCACCAAATTGAAGTTCCAGTAATTTCATAATTAGTTATGGATGTATAATGCAAACTTCACAGAGCTATGCTTGCAGGCTCAGATGCTACAGTATAACATTTCAGTGTAACTTCTAAAACTAATCCTCTTATTATTTGTTTCCATATTAAAAAGCTAAAACACTTGTACAAAACACCTCCTGTTTCTTTGTCCCCTAGCTCTCTGGGAGGCTTGCAATTAAAAATATTTTTGTTTGGAATTGTATTCTACTGCATAATTCTAAATACTTCTAC